TATATGATTTTGAGACAGGGTCTTGCTTAGTTGCTTAGAGCCTCACTAAGTTGCTGAGGCTGGCTTCCAGCCGGCGATCTTCCTGCCTCAGCCTCCCAAGTTGCTGGGATACAGTGTGCACCACTATGCCTAGCATGAGACAGTACATTTAATGAATGCTCCTTCCTTTAGAAATTCCAAAGGCAAGTTTGTAAGTATAATTTGTGATCTATTGCTTCACAGTCCTTCTGAATCACAAAGTGAGCTGTGACTGAGGTTCCAGTGATGCAGTAAACATTCCACACTGGAAGCTCTAACATCAGGTCAGGAAAGCCTCCTCCATGGATGGTACCACCATCTTCACTACCTCTGCCTCAGGAATCGCCACCAGTTTTATCTCCACCACCTCCATCACTATTCAAGTTGAAGAAACAGAGGTTCCACAAAGCGGGGAAAAATAAGGGCAAAGAGAGAACAATTCCACAAGCAAATAGAAATAAAAATGGATCAGGATATGGAAATGAATAGTGCGTTAAGGTATTTAATTTTTTTGTTGTTGGATAACAAATGTATCTCTTTCCCCTCCTCTCTCTCACTTTCCCCTCCTCTCTCTCTCTTTCCCCATCTCTCTCTCTCTTCCTCCTCCTCTCTCTCTCCCCCTCTCTTCTCCCGTCCTCCCTTCTCTGAGATTGGCCGCTACACAGTTGTTTGGGCTTGTTTCCATTGTCCTTTACACCTTGTTACTGCCTTTCACAACTAATTTGTTGAGTTTTTCAAAATTCCCCTATTTATCCAGAGGTAGCAGTATACGCCTTTAATTTCAGCAATTTGGGGGGCTGAGTCAGGAGGATCCCACATTCAAGGCCAATCTCAGCAACATACAGAGCCTGTCTCAAAGAATAAAAAAGGACTGGGATGTAACTCAGTGATAAAGCACCCGTGAGTTCAATCCCTAGTAACAACAACAACAAAAAAAATGTAGTTAATGAATAATTACATGCACAGTATTTTTTTTTCTTTCTTCTTCTTTTTTTTTTTTTGGTACCAGGGATTGAACCTTGGGGCCTTTAACCACTGAGCCACATCCCCAGCCCTTTTGATTTTTTTTTATTTTGAGACAGGGTCTTGTCAAATTGCCAAGCCTAGTCTCAAACTTGCAATCCTCCTGCCTCAGCCTCCTGAGTTACTAGGATTATAGATATGTGTTATTACACATAGCTCTACTCTATGCTCTTAATCGGTCACCTTTTTATTTTATTTTATTTGTACTAGGGATTTAACCTAGAGGCACTTTGTCACTGAGCTATATCCACAGCCCTTTTTAAGACAGGGTCTCACTAGTCTCACTAAGATGTTTAGGGCCTCAGTGAGTAGCTGAGAATAACTTCAAACTTGTGACCCTCATATCTGGCTTCCCAGTTGTTAGGATTACAGGTATGTGCCACTGCACCTGCATATTTATTTTAATATTTAAAAATATTCTCATTTTATTATTATATTTTTTTGAGAGAGAGAGAGAGAGAGAGAGAGAGAGAGAGAGAGAGAGAGAGAGAATTTTAATATTTTTTAGTTTTTTCGGCGGACACAACATCTTTGTTTGGATGTGGTTCTGAGGATCGAACCCCGGCCGAACACATGCCAGGCGAGCACGCTGCTGCTTGAGCCACATCCCCAGCCCAAAATATTCTTATTTTAATTGACCAGCTATATTTATAATTAATTTATTACAGGTTGTGTATCCCTAAATCCAAAATTCTGAAATCTGAAATACTCCAAAATCCAAAGCTTTCTGAGCACCATGATGATACAGAAAATTCAACACCATGAAACTGTTTCATGCACAAAATTATTGTATATAAAATTACCTTTGGGCTACATGTATAAGGTGTGTATTTAACACAAATGAGTTTTTAATTTAGATTTGGGTCTCATCTCCAGGATATTTCATTATGTACAGAAAAACATACAAAATCTGAAAAAATTCAAAACCCAGAACATCCTCTGGTCTCAAATATTTCAGATAAGGGCCACCCAACCTGTGCCTTGAATGTCTGAGTGAATGAACGGACATGGAGTGACAAATTAGGTTCTATGAATGGCTTCACGTTTGTGAGGGCTGTGCCAAAGTTGTCCCCTACATATAGAAAAAGGAAGTTGGAGCCAAGCGTAGTAGGTCACGCCTATAATCCCACTGGCTCATGAGGCTGAGGCAGGAGGATGGCAAGTTCAAAGTCAGCCTCAGCAAAATCCAGGCCCTTAGCAACTCAGTGAGACCCTGTCTCTAAATAAAATACAAAATAGGGCTGGGGATGTGACTCAGTGGTGCAGTGCCCCTGAGTTCAATCCCTGGTATCTTCCACCCGCCCCCCACACCCCCCCCCAAAAAAAAGAAAAGAAAAGAAAAAGGAAGTTCTGACATCCAAGAGTAATTACCAAGCAAATCAATATTATGGTGCTTTGTGCATTGTCCCAAATGTCATTTATAACTTGTAAAAATGTCATTCTTTCCAGGAATTACCAAGAAATAGCAATCACAAATCTGATATACATTTTGGTCAAAAAAGCTTAAAAAAAAGTGATAGAACTGTTCTCCCTACTTCTCTGTGTGCCTGCCCATTTCTTTTCCGGGTCTTTTTTCTCCTTTTGTCCGATAACTAGTAATTCCTTTAGATTTGCCTTGAACTCCTTGCTGATATCTCTTTCTTTTTTACTTTTTGGTACTAGGGATTGAACTGAGGGATGCTTCACCACTGAGATTTAGCCCCAGCCTTTTTTTTTTTTTTTTTTGAGAGAGAATTTTTTAATATTTATTTTTTTTAGTTTTTGGAGGACACAACATCTTTATTTTATTTTTATGTCTTACTGAGTATCGAACCCAGCACCCCGCGCATGCCAGGTAAGCGCGCTACCGTGTGAGCCACATCCCCAGCCCCCCAGCCTTTTTTTATTTTGAGACAGGGTCTTCCTAATTGTTGAGACTGACCTCCTGCCTGGGTCTGTGGAGCTTTGGGATCACAGTAGCTGCAACACCAAAGGGTGTCTCTCTCTCAATCTCTTTTTTGAAAAGTCCTAAGTGCATCCTCAGTTTTTCTTAGCTTTATAATCATATATAGATTTGTAGGCCATTTTATTTCTTCAGCTAATTTTGAGAAAACAAAACGAAATACTCTGTAGTACTAATGCAGTCTATAATCTAGCTGACTTCAAGTGTAATAAATATGGCTACCTTTAACACTTGGAAATTGAAATTGAGCATATGCACAAAATGACTGTGAGTACATTCTTTTTTCCTTCCTTCCTTCCTTATTTTTTTTTTTTTAAGTGCCAAGATTGAACCCAGGGTTGCTTAACCACTGAGCTGTATTTTCCAGCCTCCCTTTTTAAAAATATCTTTATTTATTTATTTTTATGTAGTGCTAAGGTGAGCGCTTTACCCCAAAGCCACAATCCCAGCCCCTCATAGCTCTTTTTAAGACAGGGTCAGCCAGCATGGTGGCTCATGCCTGGAATCCTAGCAGCTCTAGAGGCTGAGGCAGGAGGATGGCAAGTTCAAAGCCAGCCTCAGCAAAAAGAAAGGTGATAAGCAACTCAGTAAGACCCTGTTTCCAAATAAAATACAAAAAAAAAAAAAAAAGGGGGCTGCAGATGTGACTCAGTTGTCAAGTGCCCTGAGTTCAATCCCCAGTACCAAAAAAAAAAAAAAAAGACAGGGTCTCACTAAGTTGCTGGGGCTGACTTTGAACTCTCAAACTTTTTGCCTCAGCTTCCTGGAATTACTGGTGTATGCCACCGCACTCAGTTTAACTGAATTTTTTTAGGTCACTCTTTCAGGGTTTATAATGCTATTCTCAGGTAGAAGAGTCCGTGGTTGGGAGCAAAAATAGGGCTCTGACCTCCACTGCATGTGACTTGTTTAAGACTCTTATTAATGACCTGGATTAGCACATGGAAGCACTGTGATCTTTTCTCCTAGTCTCAAAGGAAGGACGAAAGCCTTATTCATTTGGGAATCTTAGCACCTTCCATAGTAGCTGATTGAAGTAATTGGATGCTAAACGAATTTGTTGATGAGACTGAAATATGGATGACATTAGCTCAGCAAGGTTGCTCACACCTGTAATCCCAGCAGCTCAGGAGGCTGAGGCTGGAGGATTGCAAATCCAAAGTAATTTAGTGAGTCTCAAAATCAAAAATATAACAGTCTGGGGATGTGACTCAATGCTTAAGTGTCCCTAGATTCGATTCCTAGTTAAAAAAAAAAAAACTATATATATAATATAGTATATGGATATATATATATATATATATATATATGGATGGCATTGATTTAAAAATTAATATGTAATATGATATGAACATTGGCTTTAAAATAGGGTGTGGTGGTATAGTGGTTAAGCGCCCCTGGGTTCAATCCCAGGTACACACACACACACACACACACACACACACACACACACACACAAATTCTGGGTATGTAGCTCAGAGACCAAATGTTCCTAGGATTAATTCCTCATATCACTAGATAAATAAGTAAAGTGGATGGTGACACAGATAAAACAAGAATAAAAAATTGTTGGTGACACAGATAAAACAAGAATAAAAAAATGTTGGTGACACAGATAAAACAAGAATAAAAAATTGTTGATAACAGTTAAAGCAGGTGATGGTCAGAGAGGGGTTTATTTTATTCTTCTCTCTACTCTTGGAGTTATTTATTTATTTATTTATTTGTACTGGGAATTGAACTAGGGATACTCTATCAGTGAGCTGCATCCATAGCATTTATTTTGAGACAGAATCTCATTAAGTTGCCCAGGTTGGTTTCCAATTTGGGATCCTCTACCTCAGACTCTGTAGTACCTATGATTATAGGCATGGGGACCACAACCAGCTACTTTTTGAGTAGTTGAAAAACATTTTCTCCAGGTTCAGTGGCACATGCAATTTAGCCAGACCCTATCTCAACAGGAATAAAAAGGACTGGAAATATAGCTCAGTGTTAGAGTGTCCCTAGGTTCAATCCCTAGTACCACAAAACAAAAATAAAAACTTCATTTTATTGAAATTCCCCAAAATTTGTTGTTGAAGCAAAGCTAAGAAGTCTTGCTAATTTGGAAGCATTGTAGAGACATTTATTTATTTATTCATTCTTTTTTTTTTTTTGGTCTTATTCTGTGGATAAAAACCCAAGACATGGTAGGCACGGAGCTTCATCCCCAACCCTTTTTTAATATTACCATTTTGAGAAAAGTTCTTGCTAAATTGCTTAGACTGGTCTCGAATGTATAATCCTCCTTCCTTAGCCTTCTGAGTAGCTGGGATTATAGGTGTGCATCAGCATACCTGGTTTACCTGGATGTTCTTAGAGGATCTAGGTATTAGTGTGGTAGACACCCCCAAATCCCATATAGAACACAAATGTTAAATATACTTGTAGCAAAGACACTTTACATATTAATTGAAGATGAACTAGTTTTCAAAAGTCACATTTCATAAACATTTAAAATCGCTGTTTATTTTTTTCAGAGTTTAAATTATTTCATAACCTAAACCTTTGTTATTGTTTTCAGGGTTTTTTTTATTTTCCACAGGTACTTGGAAAGATCTGAGGCCCTAGAAGTTGTCTATAAAATGAATAAAAATGGCCCATGTGCTGAGCACTGTTTTAGATATTCTGATGGGAAGGAGTATAGGAAAGGGTGTTGCCGGTCATGGTGGTGCACACCTATAATCCCAGCGGCTCTGGAGGTTGAGGCAGGGAAATCATAGGTTCGAACCCAGCCTCAGCCATTTAGCGAGGCTGTAAGCAACCATCTGAGACCCTGTAAAAAATAAAAATGGTGGGGGATATGGCTTAGGGCTTAAGCAACCTCTGGGTTCAGTCCTGAGTATATGTATGATCCAGCAGATCCACCTCTTTCCCTTTTTGGTACTAGAGAGGTACTTTACTGCTGAACTATGTCCCCAGAACTTTTAATTTTTTTTTCTTTGAGACAAATTCTCACTAATTTGCTGAGAGTCTCACTCCTTTGCTGAAGCTGACTTCAAACTTGTGATCCTTTGCCTAAATTTTCCAAATCACCTGTTTTCTTTCCTGCCCTCAACTCATACCTCTTCACTGTAGTTTTTTTTAAAAAATCCATTTTTACTATCATTCCTTTTATTAGTCTACTTGATTTTGGTTAGTTTTTTGTTTTAGTTTTTCAGTACTGAGGATAGAACTCAGGAACTCTACATTCTTTTATTTCTCCTTTTCTTTTTTTTTGCAAGAGAGTCTTACTACACTGTCCCTACTGACCTGCATATTTGCCATCTTCCTGCCTCAGCCTCCCCAGTAGCGGGGAGGACAGGCATGCTTCACTACAACTGGCTTGAAGAGTTTCAAGAATTTCATTGCATTTTCCTAGATTGTATATATGTTTCTTCTTGTTTGCAGAGTGTTTTGGAAAACAAGAAAATGGAATGAAAAAACATTGAAATTTGAATCGGATGAGAATGTCCCACGCAGAAAAAAGCAATTTAAGAAGGCCAAACTTTTGAAATCTAGAAAACAGAGTGAAGAGCTTCAGGAAGCTAAACGAGAGATCACATTCCCCTGTTCCTTATGCAAGCAGGAAATTGTCACGACTGGCATTTTCTTCCACAAGAAGCAACATGCAGTTCTGGCTACATTGGATTTCCCATGGATGGGTGGTAGGAAACCCCCATTTTCAGTCCTGGATGCTCAGAGACAATTTATAATTTCCCAACTATTGTCATCTTTTGAGTTCAATGAAAAAATCCTGCAAAACATTAATAATGCTTTTGAACTACTTGAGAAAAAACAAATCCCATTATACTATAAGATTATTGATTACATTGATGGGAGTTCCGTGTCTTCTCAACATATACCTCACCTATTAATTAAAGGTGTAGCCATCTGCAGAGACAGAAATGCTGCATGGAAAGTAGACATGAATGATAAATTCACTGTCATGAATAATTTTGGCAATAAACCCAATGTGTGTTTTTTTGGTTTGTTTGACGGACACCACGGTGCCGCAGCAGCAGACTTGGCATCAGCAGAGCTACCGATTTTACTTCTCCATCAACTTTCCAAATTTGATCCTTCCTACCAAATGACGACTGAACAGCAAGAAATCATCAATTCCTTCCACACTGTGTTTAGAGAAGAATACACGGCAATAGAAGATCTCTTCTCCTCCATATACAAAAAGCCAAGAGCATTGAAGTATGAGTACGAGGACACACACAAAGCATTTGCAAAAGCGTTTTGGAGAATGGATAGGCTTTTACGTCTTGGAAGGAATGAAGTTTCCAGGGTCCGATGGAGTGGCTGTTCTGCAGTTACTTGTATATTGGAAGGCAGCATTAAAAATCCTCATGTTAATAAGAATTGGAAAGGAACCAATAACTGGGATGGATTATCTAAGAACAACCCTTCCCAGATGATGCCACAAATAATTTCAGGAGTATTACACATTGCAAATGCTGGTATGTATATCTTATAGCAAAAGATAAAACCTTAACATTTTTGATTCCCGGCAGTAAAATTCATGCTCCCAGAATATTAATATTATTATTTAGTTACTTATTATGCCTAGAATCACACTGATCATTTTAAGAAATAATAACCAAGCTGGGTGTGGTGGTAAATGCCTATAATCCTAGTGATTTGGAAGTCTGAGGGAGGAGGATCCCAAGTTTGAGGCTAGCCTCAGCAACTTAGTGTGGCCCTAAGCAACCTGGTTAGATCCCATCTCAAATTTTTAAAATTGATTTTGTTATTTTTTTTAAATACACGACAACAGTGGAATGCATTACAATCCCTATTACACATATGAAGCACAATTTTTCATATCTCTCTATATAAAGTATGTTCATATCAATTTATGCCATTATGCATGTACTTTTTTTTTGCATTACAATTCTTTTTTTTTTTTTTTTTTTTTTTTTTTATTTTTTTTTTTTTTTTTTTTTTTTTTTTTTTAGAGAAAGTGAGAGAGGGGGACAGAGAGAGAGAGAGAATTTTAACATTTATTTATTTTTTCTTAGTTCTCGGCGGACACATCTTTGTTGGTATGTGGTGCTGCTGAGGATCGAACCGGGGCCGCACGCATGCTAGGCGAGCGCGCTACCGCTTGAGCCACATCCCAGCCCCCATTACAATTCTTAATACACATATATACCACATTTTTTCATATCTCTGTTTGTATATAAGGTGTATTGACACCCAATTCAAGTCTTCATACATGTACTTTGTATAATGATGACCATCACATCCCACCATCCTTGCTAATCCCCTTCCCCCTTCCTTTCCCTCCCACCCCTCTTCCCTATCTAGAATTAATCTAATCCTCCCATGTTCTCCCTCCCTACCCCACTATGAGTCACCCCCCTTATATCAGAGAAAACATTTGGCATTTTTTTTTGGGGGGGGGAATTGGCTGACTTCACTTAGCATTATCTTCTCCAGTGCCATCCATTTACCTGCAAATGCCATGATTTCCCATCTCAAATTCAAAAAATAAAAATAAAAAGTGCTAGGGATGCTGGGCATGGTGGTGCACGCCTGTAATCCCAGCAGTCTGGGAGGCTGAGACAAGAGGATCACGAGTTCAAAGCCAGCCTCAGCAACTTCGAGGTGTTAAGCAACTCAGTGAGACCCCTCTCTCTAAATAAAATACAAAATAGGGCTGGGGATATGGCTCAGAGGTTGAGTGCCCCTGAGTTCAGTTCTCTGTATCCAAAAAGAAAAAGTGCTGGAGATGTACTCAGTGGTAAAACACCCCTGTTCAATCCCCAATTCAAAATAAATAAATAAATAATAAAAATTTAAAAAAAAGAATAACCCCAGAAAACTAGTTGCAAATATTTTTCCAAGAGAAAGCCCTCATAATCCAATAATTTCACTTCTAAACATTGGTTTTGTTTTTTTTCTTAAAGGTTCTAAACATTGTTGCATTGCCTGTGAGCTTCTGGGGGAAACTTCCAGATCCAAACCATAACAACTTAGATCCAAACAAACAAAAAAACACTGTACACATTTACTTTGTTCATAACAATAGAAAGTTGTTTAATTATTCTTAGTGTGGTTGCTCAAAATGGTCAATTATTCTGATAATTAATACAAAAATTAATAGACCCTCCTCATGCTCAGGGGCCATGGAACACTAGTTTAATCTCAGAAAGATTAATAGTTCATGCTGCAATTCTATATGTGTGCATGTGTACATTCTCTCTCTCTTTTCCGATACTGGGGATTAAACTCAGCGGTTCTTTACTACTGAGATACATTTCCAAATCTTTTATGGTTTTTTTTTTTTGAGACAGAGTCTCCCTAAATTACTGAAGTTCTCAATAAGTTGCTGACTCTGGCCTTGAACTTGTCATGCTCCTGTCTTAAAAGTCCCAAGTGACTGGGATTATAGGCATGTACCTATATGTATCCAGCTTGCATTCTTTGATATTTATGTTTAGGAAGTAATTCTTCTGACCTTTAAAGTTTTTATTTATTTATCAGTACTGGGGATTTGAACCCAGAGGAGTTTTGACGCTTTTTATCTTAAGACAGAATCTTTTTAAATAAGACTGACCTTGAATTGTGATCCTCCTGCTTTTAGCCTTCGATTACTGTTGAGATCACAGGTGTGTACCCCTGTGCCCCTCTGACCTTTAGTTCTTAAAATCTTAGCTTAGGAGTTTGCCAAAATGGAAAATCCAGAGGTAAAGAGTCTTAGAAAAATTAACCTGAGTTTCATGAGAATTGCTTTGATAATAGTGTTCCATGGCCCTTTCCGTACAAAAAAAATTATAATTTGTGTTAGTGTCTGCTTACTGAATACTGGATGCAGAGCAATTTTTTTCTCATTTAGTCTTATAAAAATACAAATATCTAATTATTTCTTGGTGTCACTAACTCAGTATTTCAGAGGAGAAATGGAAACTCAGAAAGGTCAGATGATTTGTTCCAGGTTTCAGAGGTAATGAGGACTGGACCTGGAAATCCTTTCATGATGTCCTGCTCTACCTCTCAAGGAGTTTGCCTCAGAGATCACTAGGCTGGGCCCCAGTGCATGGTTTTGGGCAGACACGGCATTTCAAGGGCCACATAGTTACAAAATCCATTGCAAGGCCAAGGCCCTTGACAGTTAGCTATTTCTTTTTTTTTTTTTTTTTAAGAGAGAGTGAGAGAGGAGAGAGAGAGAGAGAGAGAGAATTTTTAATATTTTTTAGTTCTCGGCGGACACAACATCTTTGTTGGTATGTGGTGCTGAGGATCGAACCTGGGCTGCACGCATGCAAGGCGAGCGTGCTACCGCTTGAGCCACATCCCCAGCCCCAGTTAGCTATTTCTAATACAGCTCTACTCCACAGCCCCAAATTTGGAGGACTCCAGATTAACCAATATCAGGAAACCAAGTGCAATGCCAAGTGCCTCAGAGTCTTTGTCATTTTTGTGTCTACATTGAGGTTCCAAACAACTTCAGACCAGGCCTACTTCAAGGACTGATGTTTTTCAGATTTCAGGCCAACCTAGGAACTGACCCCGTATTTTGTGAATTTTGACATCTATCAGAAAATATCATTTGACACAGGATTCTTATAAATTAAACGAGAAATGATGAAATATTCAATATTCAATAATTAGATATAATTTTAAATGTCTTGTATACCATGATTCATTATTTCTAGACTCTTTTCTATTTGGTCAGGTCAAATATTTATTTGCATTTAATTTTCAGGTAATTCTGTTAAATTATTTCATTTAGACAGCCTGCTTTTTTCTTTTCTTTTTTTTTTTTAGTTCTAGGGATTAAACCCAGAGGTGCTTTGCCACTAAGCTTACTAAGTTACATTCCCAGTCCGTTTTATTTTTTACTTTGAGACAGGGTCTCACTAAGTTGCCAAATTGGGTCTTGAACTTGCCATCCTGCCTCAGCCTCCACAGTGGATGGGAGTAATGGTGTATGCCACCATGTCTGTTTTTATATCTTCACAGAAATTTAGTTTTCAAAATGACTGAAAAGTATCTAGAATGCTTTCTTACAGGAGCACTTTTGTGGCAAAAATCATGACTGTATTGCAGAATGCATTTTTTTTTCACATTATGTCTGTCTATTAAAATGTAGCTGGGCATGGTGGTGTATGCCTGTAATCTCAGTGATGTGGGAGGCTGAGGCAAGAGGATGGCAACTTTGAGGCCAGCCCCAGAAACCTAGCAAGGCCCTAAGCAACTTTTTCATTTTTGCAGTGCTGGGGATTGAACCCAGAGCCTTGCACATGCTAGGCAAGTGCTCTACTTCTGAGTTATAAAACTGTGGTTATTCCCCACTGCCACTGGATCCAGAGGGAGGCACTTAACCACTGAGTAACATTCCCAGGCATTTAATTTTTTTTTTTTTTTTTTTACTTTGAGACAGGTCTGGCTAATTTGGTGAAGGGGCGGGGGGCTCAAATTTGCAATCCTTCTGCTTCATCCGCCTGTGTTACTAGGCTCATAGGCATGTACCACCATATCCAGGTACATTTTGTATTTTGTAAAATAATTAGCCAGATGTAGAGGTGCACATTGTAATTCCAGTGACTCATGAGGCTGAGGTAAGGAAGGATCACAAAATTGAGGCCAGTCTCAGAAATACAGGAAGAACCTCTGTCAAAAAACAAAACAGAACAAAAAAGCCCAAAGAAAGAAACAAGAAACAGATATAATTAGAGCAAGGAAATTTGTTCTCTTGTTTGAATTCATAAAATATAAAATTCCTAAAAAAAAATTAGGTTTGTGTACAGCTCTAGAATTTAAAAAATATATTTACCTTATAATAAAACATGAGTGTAGGGCTAGGGTTGTGGCTCAGTGGTAGAGTGCTTGCTTCGCACATGTGGGACCCCGGGTTTGATCCTCAGCACCACATTAAAAAAAATAAGTGAAATAAAGGTATTGTGTCCAACCACAACTAAAAAATAAATATTAAAAAAGTGAGTATAATGATGAAACCCTTGAATAAATATTGAATTTGTGCATGTGTAAAAAATTCCAAAATAACATTCTTAATTGTTTTCTTATCATTCCCATTTTTATTGCATTTTATATATTCTCTTGATGATTTTTATTTCCTAACACTAACCTAACTAAATATATATGTATATGTTTGTGTGTATGTATATCACAATTAAATTTTTTCCTAGCATCAAAAACTCCACGAATTTTACATCTCCCCCCATCTCCACCCCCAGTTCTGAGGATTGAACCAAGTGCTTCACACATGCCAGGCAAGTATTCTACCACTGAACAACCTCCTCAGGCCCTTTCAAGTTTTCTTTTAAGGCAGGGTCTGGATAAATTGCCCAGGCTGACTTTGAATTTGAGATGTTCCTGTCTCAGTCTCCCCAGTAACTGGGATTACAGTTGTCTGTCACTCTAATTTTAGATATCTTATTGGGCATAAGGTGACATCTCATTGTAATTTTGATTTCCATTTCCCTGATGATAT